ACGGGAGGCTGGCTGGTGGAATTATTCCAGTGCAGATGGAGCCTGTCTAGTAGCAGTAATCTCCCCAACCATTGTTAGCATACGTGACAATATATTCCCTAACGTGTTTTTCCRTGTGAATTAACCCTTCTTCTCTTCGGCCTGACGCCTGGAAGGGCTGCCCGCGCCGGGGGCTGTTAGGGTCTCCCTTGAATCGCCGGCCCAAGCTGCCCTCGGCGCCCTGCTGGGTATCGTGGGTCCCACTGCGAGCCCGAGATGAGGGAAAGGAAGGATCGAGGCAGAGTGGAAAGCACATTCCCGTTAAATGCCAGGGTAAGACGAGATATGCTACAGGTCACYCTCGCGCTAGCCAAGCACACAAGTGTCTTCACTCACACTGGGGTTATTTTCCAGGGAATCTGTACAGAGCACGAGCCCTCAGGCCAACAAAACCAAGTGTCCGGCGTGGAAAAATCTGGAAGCAGAAGGGAAAAGCTGCTGCGCTCCTCCTTCATTGCCAGCATGCACCCATTCTCGCCTCCGGCACAGTGCCAGTACGTGCGGCCACGGGCGGCGCGGGTCGGAACTGAGCCCGGCCCTCACTGTGATCCCTGCACACCCGGCTCCGGCTGGGAACCCTCATGGGAACGACTCCCTGGGATGTCACACACACAGAAGGAAATAAAAGGCTCAGGGCCCTAGCTCCGAGCAAGAAGGGAGGGTGCAGGTAGATGTGTGAAAACGGACTCGCTCTTGGATGTCCTCATTCCACGTGTCCGGAGATCAGGGTCAGCAGGGAAGCAGCCTCGCGTTGGGCTGCACAGGCACTGCTTTCCTCCAGCTAAGGACACCGAGTTACACTGGTGCCTTCTCAGACACTGCGGAATCCAGTTCCCATCTATCCAGGCATCCCAGTGTTTTGCTATGTCTCCTGGTTTCTTTCCTGGGAGGAACAAAGCAGCATCTTTTTCCTTGAAGATTGCTCGCTGCAGTTCCCCCTTTGGAGCCAAAGCCAGCAACCTGCCGGCCCCATCTGTGCTGCCACCTTCAGAGCTGCAAACGAACCAGAGAGACCTAGAGACCCTTCCTGCAGGATGCAATCCTASACACAGGCATATCCTCTGCTTTCTACAGTTGCATGGCACAAATTTTTGAGATGAGGCTGCAGCCTTGTGGCCTTTGCTAGCCATCCAGGGGCAGGCAGCAAGACATCGATTACAGCTTTGTTCATTAGCTTCAATTACCCAACCCCCTCTATACGGGCTGTGCAGAATACAGCAAACTCTGCAGAAGGAGTTTGGTGGCTCCAGTTTACCAGAATATCTGCAAAGGGGACCCAGCGACACCAAATAGAGCTGTAGAAGAGATCAGACAGGCTGAAACCATCCAACATCCAAGCAGTCCTTGTGTTCAAAAAAAAAGTCTTTTCACAAAGTGTGCATAAACAGGAGCTATAATCCAAAATTCCCTTTCCCCCCCTCCCAAGTTGCAGGATTTCCTAAACATTACATAAGTGGACGAGGGTGTATTTGTTCTCTTGCAGTTTAAGACCCATTAGCACAGACGGGCTGCTCAGCCAGGCCCCTTTCCTGATCTTTTATTGCGGGAGCGTTATTCTTGGCGGCGCTCCAGCGCACTATTAGTCGGGGAAGAACCAAACCGGCGCTCGAGGAGGCGACGCAGCCGCAGCCGCTCCCAGCCCTCCCGGCCGCCAGCACCGCGATCCCGGCGCGGCTCCGCCACGGAGCGAGGCCAGGAGCTGCCGCGCTGCCCGGGGCAGGGATGATGCTCCAGGGGAACTCGCCCAAGAGCGGAGAAGGTGACGCTGAGCGGAGACGTCGCACTGGTGCTTGTCTGTGGGGCTCAAAGCKTTTCATTTGCAACAGGGGTTAAGGCTTCGTTATGTGCACACCCTGAGCATGCGAGAGGGACGGCTTCTCTGCGAGAGGCTGCCTGAAGGCAGAGGCAAAGGGGAAGATCAGGGACCCGCCGCAAGGAGCCCCTCCATGTGCAATCACAGCGCTGCTCCGGGGAAAGCGAGCGCCAGCACCGCCGCCTCCCCAGCGGAGTCAAGCGTCCAACGGAGCCAAGCGTCCGAGCAGAGAGGAAATAAATAAATAAACAAAAAGTCCTCACAAAGTTGCTGGGCTACTGGCTGGGAAGAAAAAGTATTAAAAAAGTAATAATAGTAATAGCCCTTGGAAAGCCTCCCGCTCAGGACGTGTTGGGAAGCCCATTCCAGCCCTTGGTGCCCACGGGTGCCAGCAGAGCGGCTGGAGGAGAGACCCGTGGGCAGCTGCCCGCGGCCCCGCGCACGGAGTCTCCCTCGACGCATGCCCCTGGCGCATCCCCCCAGCCTAGCACTAGCACTGTCTGTGAGGATAAACCGTTGGGTTTTTTTCCTCCCTGCTTCATGCCTCACACATGGGTTTTTGGTTTTGTTTTTTTGTCATCACACTGCTGCATGGCCCCCTCGCCACCTAATTTATGCGCTGTGCTGTCAGCTCTCCAAACCACAGGCCGTCTCCTCAGATCCCTCCAGCCACAAGCCCAGCGGCACCTGCAGAGGGGACAGGACAATCCGCATCCGGAGAGGGAAGCCACCTCCAGCGAGCTGGGAAGGATCCCCAGGTTTGCCATTCCACACCTGCACAAGTGCCACAGGTTTGGGCAACTTCCCTCCACGTTAATCCCATTAGGTGTCACGCTCACCTCCATGTTCACCCCGTTAATCTCTTCTAAAATTACTCTCGTCCTGTGAATGAAAATACCTCATTCTTACAACCCAAGCCCTGTGACAAACATAGATGTCTGTAATATAAGAAAGAGGGCGAGGACCTTGCAGTATTCCATTATTTTCGTGCYGCAATGATGGATTTGGAAATAGCTTAGCAGCAGCAGTCATACTTACTGATTTWGCAAGCAGGGATACTAGAGCAATCAGAGCACATTCCCTTTGCGGCTCTTCTTAGGAGACCTTAGCGCTCTGGGGGATGAGCTTGGAGGATTTATTCCATTCTGGAGATTACTCCAACTAATGTGAAGTCTGACCTTCYGCTTTCCTGTAAGCGCTGGAACTGCTCTTGGCACTGCGGCTACCTGGGGCTGAAGGAAGGGACCTGCCTTTAGCACCCTCACCTGGAGAGGAACCTCAATGACTTTCCGCGTAGCCTTAAGTGCTGGAAAGCACCTGCATGGTGGTGCATTCCCTAGGGAAGAAGCCAAAGCTGGATTTCCCTAGCCGATTATCAGCTGAAGCTAATTTACCTGCGAGGAAGGGCTCGCAAGTCACTTCAGTCAGTTTGCAGGGCACCTGACCAGAGCAGGGAGGGAGGGGGCCCRTTCATCCCCCTCAGACACAAAAAGTCAGATTTTTTCTGACCTCAGCAAAGTCTGTTTTATAGCTGCAAAGCTCCACTGACTTCAGCAACACCAGCACAAGCAAGAGGAAATTCCTTTCCACATCTCCCTGCGGTGCTGAGTAGGACTTTTCCCTGTGCATACTTCTTCCCCTGCATTGTGTGGATCTCTCTTTTCCCACATTTACTTCCCCAGGAAACTTTTGTGGGCTCCCCTGCCAATGCCAGATACTCTCTCATCCCTCTCCAGCTCCTCACGTTACTGCTCAAGCACGGAGAGCAACTGCACCTCACACTCCCTCCGTGATTGACGGCACCCATTTGTGCAACACAAAGATGGAACAGGGAAAAGCACTGATATCCAGCTCGCCCAAAACTTAAAAGTTTCATCAAAGGGACTTTGCACAATGCAGCTGAGCAGATACTGGGCAAGTTGGAGAGAGATTAAGTTACCATGCAGAGAGAATAAACATTAATAAACCATTAGGGCCCTGCTGTGCGTACGCAGCAGCCAACCTGGGCTAATGCAGGCTTACTCTGTAAATCGCCTTATCCGCCAATCCTTTCTAATAGGGAGCCGGTGTGCTCCCTCCCCAGCCCTTTCTGTCGGAAGGCAGGAGCTGCGGTGCCTGGGACAGGGGCTGTTCCTGGAGCAGCAACATGAGGGAAGCAGCGCTGGAAGCRGAGAGGTCCCTGCCTGCCGGCACAGAGCTGCCGCCTGGCAGGCCTGCCTGCTGCTCGCTCCTTCTAATCCCTGTTGTTCAGCGGGATTTTACGGCACTGGGAAAGGACAAAACCCTTAGCGCTACCAAAGGTAACAGGGTGTCGGCGCTTGCCGAAATGCCCCGTTTTCAGGGGCCTGTGAGCCACCTATTCACATTAATTTCCAGCTGGAAGTTAGAAGACATGGAGAAGAGTTAGCTTCCCGATGCCATACRCAGAACAAAGTAGATCAGCCGGGACAGAGTGACCAGGCGGCCAGGAAAAGGCAGAAGTTATTCCAGAATCCTTACTGCACCCTTGCGTTCCCAGATATAGCGGAAAGTTGAGCAGCAAAGAGCTTCACAGCATTCCCAGCTCCATTGCACGGATGGAAGAAACCGGCTCTCCACTTCCCACCCCTCACACCCCCTTCCATTAACTAAGGGTCGYGCAGGCGCCGCACCAGCGGAGCCCGCTCGTGCCCACGAGCCCCACGGCAGCGGAGGCCGCCGCGGCGTGTCGGGAGTGCCGCTGTCCCCGGGGACGAGGGGAGCGTGGGCACCGGCGCGAGTGCCGAGACCAGGGGACACCCGAGGGGACGCACACGGCTGCCCGGGGAAGCAGCGGTGGGAGGTCTCGGCTTGAGGAGATGCAGCTGCGGCTTTGGCGCTGGGCGGCATTAGTGCAGGTCAGGACCCAGCCGGAGGAAACGCCGTGAGGAACGTGGTGTTCACRGAGCAATCCCTCTCCCACCGCGCAGCCGAGCTCCCGGCTGGCAAGATGTAGGCAAATTGTCCAAGGGGCGTGAGTAACAGCCAACCACCCCAGGGAGAAACTATGAGAATCAAATCCAGGAGTTCAGGCACGCGAGGTACCRGAATTATGACATGACTTTACCATGCTAAATCCTACGGGCAGCTAAGCCCCGTCACCAAGCCGAGGTCACGCACGGCCTCTTACCTGTTCTCCAGCAGYGTCATGCACACGACCTCCCGCACGCCGGGGTTGTTGGCCTTTTCCATGGAGCAGCTCTGCAGGTTCCAGGTGGCGATCCTCAGCACGGGCCGGCCGTCCCTCATCCCCCCGAACATCTCCACGGAGGGGCGAGTGGAGATGAGCTGCGTTGGGCCCCCCGGGGGGAAGTCCAAGTCCTCGCTCTGCAGGCTCAGGGACGTGGGGCTGGGGTGAGGCTTGGCCGTGAAGTTGAGGCCACCGTTGGTGTTCGTCGACGGCGGCCGGGAGCGCTCCGCAAAAATCTGATGCCTGATTTTGTCCAGAAAGGAGGAATTAATGCAGTTCATCCTCACCAGATCCTCGATGCTTTTGAAGGGGCCATGCTCCTTGCGGTAGTCCACAATGCTGTTGGCGATCTTCTCAGTGACGCCGCGGATGCTCATGAGCTGCGCCGGGGTGGCCGTGTTGATGTTGATCTTGGTGGTGGAGAGGTGGTGCTCGGAGGGGGGGTCCTTGCGCAGGGAGCTGGGCGAGTGCTGCGCCGAGCTGCCCTTGCTGCTCACGCAGATCTCGAACTTGACCTGCTCCAGCTTGGCGGCGCCCACGCCACTCACCAGCGCCAGGTCCTCCACCTTCTTGAAGCCGCCGATGTACTCCCGGTACTCCACAATGTTCTGGGCCACGGCGCGCGTGACGCCGGGCAGGGTCATGAGCTCCTCCTCGGTGGCCGTGTTGATGTTGAGGCGCTCCTGGTTGACGAGGATGTGGCTGAAGTTGCAGGCGGCGCTGAACTTGCGGCTGTGGCACAGGTCCGCAGGGTCCCGCGGGATGGAGCGGTGGCAGCCCAGGTTGCCCCCCATCTCACCTCACCTCACCGCAGGGCGACGGGCAGCGCCAGGGGCCGGCACCTCATTGGCGCCGGGGCGACCGCGGGGACCCTGCGGCGGGAGAGGGCAACGCGGTGAGACCGGCGAGGAGCACCCCGCGGGGGCGCCCGTCCTCGCCGCGCTCCTCCTCGGCGCCGGGCAGCGACAGCGGCCCCGCGCAGCGGCCGCCGCCTCCGGTGCCCGCTCCGCTCCGCTCC